GAAGTAATCTTCACTAAGAATGTAAAACTTTTATATGTTATTGCTCCAAAATAAAGGACACAAGTAGTTAGAATTAGCATAGATAAAAAACAGACAATAATTAAGTGGATTTTTGGCATCGCAATGAAGATGGTTAAGGCGGCTAGTGATGGGATTATGCGGGTGTGGTGTGCTCTACACCAACTTGGCTTTGTGGTCCAAGTTGAGTACGTCAAGTTGTATGATAACTAATTCATCAACATCTTGATGGACTTTGTTTCTTATCTTTGCATGCAATATAGTCTCATCAAGAAGATGGATTGTACATGCCCAAAATTCATGGACATGTGATGGTCATCTATGGAAAAATTGAGCATTGTAACAAGATATAAAGCTCCAATGAGCAAATGATACTAGAGTCTGCTAACAATGATGCAAGTGTCAAATGTACCAATTAAACAAAGAGTATGTTTGAAGTGTCACTATTACAAAAAAGATTTAATGATCTACAACTACATTGATATGACCATGAACTTGTCATAGTACAATTGCCATTGACTATAATCAAAGTGTACATAATGTATAATTTCTCTAATTTTGCAAGACAAAGTTGATAATAAAATTGCAATTGAAGAAACAAAGATAGAAGCTGATTATTGATTATTACAATACCAAGATATTCTATATATAAGAGACTATTTTAATGAGCTTGGAGTCGCCATTGGAAAATTTTAGTTGCTTTTATATAACACTGCTTATTATTTTGCACTTTTAGTTCTATCTGACATGCAATAGGTATCGATCACCATACTTCATCAATCTACAATTTTAGTAAGGTCTAGTTTATCATAGCGGCGAGAAGCTTTTTGGACTCATCAAATATTGGTTTATAATATATCCTCCATCTTTTGGATTAAAATGTCTAGAAAGAATATTGCATCGCGAGTTCAATTTTTGAGGATATGAGCCTCCCTTTGGACAACTCAAAATAGATTTCATCTTGAAGTTGATACCATGCAGATTCATGAGGTCATTTGGCACCTGAAGGGCAAAATCTCCAATTGTACTCGTCTTTATCATCTATGTAGAAAATTAAAATGAGAATGTTGCCCATGGTTGGCAAGAATGGAATTAGCTTGTGGCGTAAGTTGTCTATTAACATTACTCTTGCTGAAGGATTGAATATAGACACAACTTTGATTAGATGTCAAATATGACTTTGAACTAAGATGATTGCAAGGACTACTTGAAACATGACTCTTACTATGTTCATCACACTCATAATGACGCCTCTTAATAATATCTTCAATAGCGGCAAAGCCTTTGATACTAATTTGGTCTTGAAAGCAAAATGTATATAGAGAAGGCTGAAATCACAATTAGTTGTGAAAAGTGAGAATGAAGAGATGACTTCAAAGATTGTTGTTGATGCTAATGAAGAGTTGCTCTCTCTAAATATTGCTCTTAGATTGGTCACAAAATTTGAATAGGAATTGAGCAAGCTTATTGATGATCTTTGTTTAGAAACAAAGTGTCTTAAAGCAGCGATGGTAGTCAAAAGAGTAAATAAAAGAGTTGTATGTTGCAACCAAAGGTGAGTTCTAGAAAGTGGGTACAAGGTTTGCAAAATGTGAAAGAAGTTAAAGAAAGAGCTATTGAAGTGGTAGCTACATAGAGCAATTTTGTTGAGGTGTGGAATATGGTAATATGTTTTGCATTCATAGGGAGATTTGAATCAAATATCAGAACTTGGAGTTTAGGGGACTACAAGAAGAACAATTATTTACTATGTGTGGATTGGAAATAGGGAGGGGGTTGAGACAAGGTTTGAAAATGAGGAGAACATGGAAAATAGGGCTAAGGGATGAAGGGGTGCAATGATGGTTAAGACAGAGTCAATTGCTTTAGTAAAAAAATTTGGATTTTATTCCTCTCTCTCTCTCTCTCTCTCTCTCTATATATATATATATGTATATTATCAATTTTTTTTAAAAAATGGTGTATTTTTCTTTGGGTGTGTCTTAACATAAATGTAATTGTAAAGGTAGATAGACTAGCATATAAATATACACATACATTAAATAAAACATTTATCAAAAGAATTTGTATTGAATATTAACTACCAAAAATACAAAAAAGAAACACTTGATAAAAATCATAAAAACTTGTCTATTTATATAAAAAAATCTTATTGAATTTGAAATTTAAAATTTCCAGATTATAATTTTTTTAATTATTGAAAAAAATTGAAAAAAATACTTTTATTATTTTAAAATAAGTGAAATACAACATAAACCATGAAATACAATATAATTTTGTATTATTAAAACATTGAAAAGTTAATTACTTTCAACCAATTTATATTATAAAATATTTTAATATTTTAGTTATGTTATAATAAATTTATAATTTTAAATACATGTTTTATAGCTAATATATATTATTTAAAGATATCTCTATCTAATCCAATAATTCCAAAAAGATTTGATAACATATCTAAGACATCATTTAAGAACCTTCTATAATATCTTCTTAAAAATTATACAATACATTTTTTAATATGGTCTAGTTATTATTTTTAATAAGACTATTCAATTATATTACATAAATATAATGTAGAAAGAAATTTTAAAGATCAAACTCATCTTAATATTATCAATATGATTTTTAAAACCAATACTTTCTTAAAATCCAATAAGACCTTCAAGGCTCTTGAAACCAATTATGAAACTAACTAAGACTTGTTATAAAGTAAAGTATCCTAAAACACTAGAATTGAGGATTATATATAATCATATATGTATACTATTCTTAATAACCTCTCTAAGTAGCTACAAGAATATGTCAATTGAAAAAGAGATAGCATTTTTCTTAACACTATACTTTATAAAATACAATGGTTTTAAAATTTTAAAAACTTAATGTGCTTTGAAATAATGAAAATATATTTTGAATGCATATTTTAATCTAGAATCTAATTTATAGTTGATAAGATTAATTTTATGGAAATTCATAAATTTATATAAATAAAAATTATTAATTTATATTTAATTATTTACTATAATTTTAAAAAAAAATTACATAAAATATAAGATTTTATTTTATTTTTAAAAAATTAAAAATTTTATTTTGGTATAAATAGATTTGGTAACCACTAAGTGGACACCTTCTTTGTGTTACATAGAAACCTCTTTTTTGCCATGCACTCTTGCATATACACAATAAAACTCTTATTTACACTTAAATTTTTTAGGATAAGTTTACAACAATAAATTCCCTAAATAAAATTAATAAAATTTTTAAAGTGAATGAAAGAATTAAATTATATGTATTATAAATTATATTATACTTCATCTAGATAATTAAACAACACAAGCCATTTCATACAAATCTTAAACCATATATATATATATATATATTTAAAATTATCCTAAATATTTTTAGTTCAAATAAGAGTCTTATTGTATGTACATGGAAGTGCATAACATGAAAGATGTGTAAATAGTAAAAGAAAGGTGCCCATCTAATAATTCTCATAATTTTTTATTTTTTTATTTTATATACATATAATAAACACTAGCTTGAAATTTTATCTAAATTTACAAAGATATTATTTAGTATATATGTTTTGTATTTGGATATTATACTAATTTATTTTTAAAAATATTTATATTTTATTATTCAATATTCATAAAAAAAATATTATAAATAAATCAAATAATAATATCATTATCTAATTTTTAAAAAATATTTAGTTAATCATTTTATTGAATGTCTAACCTTAATGATAAAATTACAAATAGATATTCACCTAGAGTAGTTTTTAATCTTTAAAACTCATATTTTAAAATTATTTGTTTTTAGTTTATTATTTTATAATAAAAAATATATATATATACACACACACACACACACACACATATATATATATATATATATATATATATCCACTATTAATAAATAAATTTTATTCTTTATATTTTATGTTATTAGTTTTGATACTTTCTTTATCTGTTGTTAAAAAATTATTTTAAATTTTATAGAATTTATCATTTATTCATTGAATCTACAAAGTAATTTATTTTATTATATAGTTTTGATGTTTAATTTTAAATAAAGAGATATAATTTGGAATTATGTTTTATTGTAAAAAGCAGAATATATATATATATATATATATATATATATATATATTGAATTGTTTGAAATTTCGTTAATAATCTTTGTGCTTTTTAATATTAGATTCTACGACTTGGTTTAATCTTATATAACATAAAGTAATAACTAAATATAATAAACACAAGCATGTAATTTTTTTTTGTAGAATTCATTAATGTTTATAAGATTAGAAAATAAGGCTACTTATTTTGTATCCAAAAAATAAATTTTAAAAGTATAAAGATAATAAAAAATAGCTTACTAAACCATTAGATTTGTCCAACATATACTTCCTTCAGGAAATAACTCTCACATGGAAATATCTCTTTTACCAAATTTTTGGCATCCAAAACTTCTATATTCCAAAAAACCACATTAATTTCAACTTTAATTCTCTCACTGATCTTTAGACTTACACTAGATTCCAAGATATAATTCTTTGACCATAACATAAACATATATATATATATATATATATATATATATTTATTGCTTAGTGTGGAAAAGAATCTTCTAATCTCCACATGAAAAGGTGCCAATTTCCACATTAAAAGTGAAAGAATTCTTGACCCATGGAGCAACTCAGCTTTAGAAGACACATTGTCAAGCATGTACCCCAACCTCCAGCCCCCAAAAGGGTTTTGCTAGTCCCCTCAACATATCTCACATTAAGACTAACCTTCTTATTATATTCTAAGAAAACCCCACTATCATATCAACAAAGCCCAAATAAGCAATAAGCTTGAAGAAAAGCCTTTTAAGGGATGTGCAAAGGGGGTAGTGGGGGTCGGGCAGATCGGCCAGCAGGGTGGCTTCTGCCCGAGTGAGAAATTTGGAGCCCGAGCCCCGTTGTGGCGACGCAGCAGCTGTTCGGTGCCGGAATTGCAGGCTGCTTTCGAAGCAGCCGATGTTTTTGGAGGGCGCGCGATTGATCGATCTATCGCCTTAGCTACAGTCTGAACTATGCTAAATATAAACCCACTTCGAGGCAACAGTTATCTTCGTGTGTTGGATGGGTACCCATTGCAGTAACAAGCTAGGTTTCCCTGCAAGCTTGTACTGGAATCACATTCCGCCGGGTGAGAGCTGTTTTGGAGATTGAGAGAATCGAGTCATATCTAGAACGGTGAAATTGCGGGTGTGAGTGGTGGTGTATCGTTGCGAGGAATGTATGTCTAGTTGGGTTTGCCTGTGTAGTGAGGGGAGTATGGTAGATGTGAGTGTGGTTTTGGAGTTTGGTGGCTTGGGGCCGTCATGAAAGTGGGATGCATGGATTGTGCTTGCGGTTGAAGTTGCGGTGGATTAGTTCCGGCAGGGAGCCGATTCGAAGATGAAGAGGTTAGCGAAGCATTCAACTGTGCAAGGGGTGGTGTTCTCTCTTCTATTTGCGATAGTTCTCCTGATTTCTCTTTCTGTGCTTCTGAATCGAATCTCTTTCGGGGTCTCTTCCAACCAAGGGTTTAATCTCGCGGAGGTCTTCTCCGGGTCGCCTGCGATCAATGCTTCAGTCCCAGGCGCTGCGCCGTCGCTCGACAGTGGCGGCGACGCGTTGGAAATACCCGACACAGACGCTGTTATCACGAGCGAAGAGTTTGGCAATTTCAGCTCTACGGCCCCTGTCGTAAACTCTCCAAGTCCACGTGATCCGGTATCAAATAGAACCCGAACACATAGCAGGAGTTCGCATCTAGTTCCCGCTAAGTCGCCAGCCCCTGTGGAGGCAAATGATGATGATTCTGTCGAAGCGGCGAACGGCGAGATACGAGACAACAGATCCGAGGGTGAAGGCCCAAAAGGTCAGGTTGGCACATTTTTCGATCCAGAAGTACGAAACCCGCCACCGATTGGGCCAGAGAGTGGTCTAGACGGCCCGGTTGTGGATGGCCCAGATGAGGATGGCGTTAGTAGACTGGAACCTTCGGAGCTCACAAAAATACCTCCAGAACTATCACCGTTGCCGGGATACTCTGGAGACGTTACTGTTAACTCTAGCCCGATTGCGATTTCTTCATCAACGAATGGAGTTTCTAACCAAACTCCGGTGCTCAACAGGGGTGATGCGAGGCAACAGCGAATGTTTCAGCCCGCTGGATTGCCGCATTACTCGTTTGTTAAGTTCAGCGCCTACCGGCAGTCACTGCGCACATTCTTTGTTAACGGGATATCCTCGTACGTTGCCAGAAGCTTCGACAAAGACAAAGTTGCGCACACTTGCGAATGGCACCCTGGGAATGGATCCCTACCCCTGTCAATGCACACGGATCCGGGTGCATTCGTGGAAACGACGGCGGAGCATATTTACATGAAGAGTGACGAGAATAGAGGAACCTACAGTCCTACCATCATTAATTGTACATTCAAGGTGCCAGTGGGTGCGAATCGCTTGGGCGGTTTGTTGGTGCTGCGAATTTCCACAGGCTACGACCGCTGGGAAAAGAATTTGCCCATTTTGGCCCTCGAGGAGCAAGTCAATGAGGTCAACATTGTCTCAACTCCGCCGGAGAAGGTGGGTCCACAAACTTTGTAGAGTTGGCTTAGGGTTCAGGATTGCGTCTTTGCAGATGAGTTGATTCTGAAATGCTTCGCATGAGTCGTGGTTTGCCTCAGATTCCATTCAAGTATGCCTTTTGTGGAGCTCCCATGCACGGGACAGTGCGCGCAGACTGGATTTTGCATTGGATGAAGTATCACCATTATCTCACGGAGGGCAGCGCTCACTTCTTCTTCTACAACCTGGGAGGTCTCGCGAATTCCGACAGGCCGGTCTTCAACGAGTTCATTAATGCCGGCCTTTTAAGCATCACTGATATTTTGGATCCCAATCTTAGCTGGGATTATCCAACTTGGTATTTCCACCAAGTGCTCCTCATCAACGATTGCCTCCATCGATCTCGATTCATGGCAGAGCGCGTATTTTTCTTTGATTATGATGAATTCTTGCAGGTATGTACGGCCACCTACTACGCATCGATCGCAAACCCCATTACAAAAGGTTTGACAAGGTTTTAATGCAATGTCAGATTTCTAGCGGCTACGGAAAGTTTGTGTAACAGTTCTGGTATTGACTCATTTGGAACTGTGGCTGTTCAGGTTCCTGCTCCGGACTCGCTTAAAATGTTCATGAGGCGGCACGCGAAGGAACCTTGGATCAGTTTTGGTAGCATATACGCCAACACCAAAGACTGCCGATTGCCAAAGCCTGGGGAATCCGAGACTCTCTTTGAGCGCATGGTGTGGCGTCGTCCGAGACCCGAATGTAGAATTCAGCAAGCGAAATATGAGGGTCCTCCCGTTGATGCGTTGCATTGCATAGGTCCACTCGGCAGGCGCAAATATGTCGCCAACCCTCGAAAGGTGAGAGAACCATAACCCATCTTGATCATGCTGCATGTCGCAATTGGCAACACTTGAGGATTAGCACGAGCTTGAGTCGTTGCTTACTAACCATTTGGATCCCTAAACTGAGCTCTGCAGACATTCGCCGCTGGGGTGCATTGGGTCACTATACCCAAAAATGGGCTGGACCTTAGTGGCAATGGGGCGCACATTTTACACTATCGCAGTGCACCGTTACCAAAGACTAGGCTCTGTTCAAACAATGTGACGATGGACGGTACTGACGACGACGGAGAAGCAAGCGTCTTAGAAGACGGCTGGATTCAAGATGACCAAGTCTCTCAAATATTCAAAAGGGCCAAGTCCTACCCCATTGTTCCCTTCATTCGGAACGCTGCAGCGGGAGGCTTCTAGTAGCAACAAATCATTTTTATTTTCACCTGAATCGTTACGTGGATCTGTAGCTCATGTTCCACAACAACCCTTTTCTACCTATCAAAGACGTAGAATGTGTACAGATCTGAGGCGCCATTTAAATTGTACGTGTTGAATTCATTCTAAAACTTAAGCCAAGTGATTCACCACTTGTGCTGACGATCAAACCAAAACTTGTGCTGTCAATCAATCAATCAATCAATCAATCACGTTGTAAAACCAAGTCCCATTCCTAGACTGTGGACCAGAGTCCAAAGAGCTAGAAGCTGAATCTGTTCTGAGATTCTGAAGGAATTTTGCATGTGCACTACATTAGTGGGCATCCAACCAATGGGCGGGAAGGGAGAGTGCATTTTTAGAGGAAATATGTGACTTACTTCCTTTATTATCGATTGCACCTCTAATGATGAATTCAGTTGTCAATTCAAAGTCTTCTTACAACTGAGGAGTCAAAAACAATCAATATGTGGGGCATGGAAATCAGTCTACCCCTATTGAGGATTTTCTATCTGTCTTCTTTAAGAAAGTTTTGCTTTTTGGTAAATAGCCATGTGGGGGATCGCCAAAATTTATCTAAAGTTAAACACTTAGCCCATTTGCTCTCTTTAATGCCCACTATCATCCAACCAGTCAAATATCACCGCTGTTTTTTTTTTTTTTTTTTTTTTTTTTTTATTTTTGAGGACCTACTTAAAACAAGGGAACAAAAGGACACTGTTCCACGTGTAGACACTGCGAATTGAAGTCTGTTGCATCAAGGTACATTCCAATAATCAACTTAAAGTTGTCCTTCCACCCAACTGGAACTTTCCTTGAGAATATCAATAATGATTATTGAAATATAAATAAATAAATAAATATAAATATAGAAGGGAATTTTAAATAGACCCAGGATTTTACTAAATTTATCCACCAATCACGTAAAAAACAAATGACCATTAGATTCATTTCTACACTATTGGATCTAAAACTAATAAAAACCAATCACATTCATTATGGTTATCATATTCTTCATCATGGATAGGTCAATTTAGTAAAAATCTGGGTCTATTTAACATTTGCCTATCTATATAATAAGAAAGCTTAGGTATACGACAAAAAGACAAAGAAACCTTCTCATTGGTGGAAAGCAAATTAATTATTAACTAGCAAAAAGCCCTGCATAACCTTGAAAAAAACCTCTAATTTATTATTCTTAATTTTGTTTTAGTGCCCAATGGCACAAGATTCTGCTAGTATTTGTATATGTGTTTATATATACATATATATATATATATATATATATGTTCACATATGTACATATGCTAGCTTGAAACCCTTTGCTTTGCTTTACAAATAATATGAAAACAATGGGGTCCTTATAATACATCATTGTCATATAAAACATAATGGCTAAATTCTTATAGAAGAGGTGACAATAATGTATTATTTACCAATGTTTCCACAATTGAATGTTTTTGATACTAAAGGATTACAACAAAAGTTACATGATTTATAAAACCTTAAAAATTTAAATGTAATACAATTAATTTTGAAATATATATGTATATATCACAATTACAACAATATATTTAATAATAATGTTTGGAACTAATTGCACTATTACAACCATTTTCGTACCTTCATAAATAAACTTACATTTAACTGCAAAAATATAAAGAGTGTGCATATTAAAAGTAATATCAAAGTTTTTTTTAAAATATGTTTTGGATATGTGATTTTTGTTACAAGTATTTTTTATGTGATAAATTAATATGTAGGAATACATAATATAAAATTAAAATCTTCATAATTCTGTTTTCAATATCTTGAATATTAAAGACAATGATGTTTGTGTAAATGCATTCATCCAAATGGCATCACATGTCTTCATTCATCCATTTATTTATGAGTTCATCTCAAATTGTTACTTAATTCATGTTGATTATTAGATGTCTTAATAAAACCAAAAAAGTAAAGAGATATCAATACTTAAGGTTGATATCAAGATTTATAATTTATAATTAAGGTTTATAATTTATAATTAAATAACACAAATAAATTATTTATATTTTAATATTTATGTGATCAAATCATATTTAAACCTAAATTAAATTAAAATTAAAAAAAAATTCAAAATCCATTTAAAATATTTTAGTGGTAAGATTGATTTTTTTTGTATTTTTAATTATAATCTTTAAAAAAAAATTATAAAAATTACTTGGCATCAAAATACATATATAATTCACATATGATATTAATAGCATAAATATAAAAAAAATATTTAGTAAAAATTAATAAAAAATTATAAAGTATAAAAAATAAATAATATGATTAAGTATTGATATTTTATTTGTAATTTTTTAGAATTTTACTTGCATAATGCGATTTAGTTTTTTACTCTAAAAATATAGACAGTATTATTGGATCTTTAGGTTTTTGAGATTTTTAGAAAATAGTAATCAAAAATCTATTTTGAATAAAATAATATATTTAATTTTTTATTGATTGAATAAAATTAAAGTTTCATACATAAACAAAAAGGATTTTATTAGCTTACTTGTTATCTTGTTAATATATATATATATATATATATATATATATATATATATATATAAATAAATTATTAGGCATAATAAGAATATAAATCAAATTTAGATGTATTACTGAAAAAAAATCATCTCATAATTTGTATTAGGTTGTGGTATTATAACTTTAATTGATTTTAGACTATAAACTATATCAACTAGGATGTACTTATGACTGAAATATCAAAAACAAAAAAGTAGAATTAAAGAATCAAACAATCATTTTATAAGATTTATTTTTTATTATTTAATTTTTAAATTTAAAGTGATTAAAGTTTTTGATATAAATAATAAGATTAATAAATGCTTATATTTCTACTTATTATGAGCTAGTATATATTGCAAACCATCTTATTAAATGGTAGATTTTTAAATTAGTGAACCTAAGAATTATGTATTTTTTCTTATTAACATATATATATATATATATATATATATATATATATGTACCAATATTAATAAATTATTATGAAAATATCTAAATAACATAAAGTATTAAATAAGTTATAATATTAGAAAATAAATCCTTTAATTTTTAATAAAAATACATTCTTAAAATTATAGTTATTGCAACATAATAATCACTATTGATCTAGGTTCTAACATAATTTTTTAAAAATAAAATAATCCGTAATTTAAAATAAAAATTATATAAAAAATAAAATAAATAAACAAATAATAAGAAGGAAAAAAAGGAAGATTTTTTTTGATAGGTTTAGCAATAATTTAATACATATTATATCATAAAGTACTTGGATATTTTTATATAATATAGAAAATATAAATCAATTTACAACCTCTTCTTAATAATAATCTTATTTGTAAAACTAGTCCCAAATATCAAAAGATTGCTAAAAAATTGATTTTTAATAAATATTTCTTTTGTACATTTTTTTGAAAATAAGAACTCTATAAAGTAAAAGAAACATATTATTTCATTTGTAGAAGTGTTAAGTTTAGAATGTTTTTTGCTACTACTAATACATGTTTTTTTGCTACTACCACAATATGCCATCTACCATATATCACTTAAATTTTGACTATTGTCATGATAATCTTATTCTTATAGTTTAAAAATATTATTTTAAGATTTTTTTAATTTATAAAATATTATATTTTCATAAAACCAACCTTAAATTTGATACTATAAATTATAAATTAATTAATTATAAATTAATTAATAATAATTTATAATTCATATGTGTAAAGAATATAGTGCAATCAAATCTTTAAAGAATATGTAATTGTACTTTATCTTTTAAAATATATAAGCATCTTTTAGAATAAAATATATTATTTATGAAATTATATTTAGAAGTATTATAAAATTTAAAAGTATTATTTTTAATATCATAAATAAGATCTAAAGACATAGATGAATGAACTTACATTAAAAAAATTGAATTAACAGTTAATGTTGATTTTATAGCTTGTAGATGAAATTTCCTTGGCTTCATAAGAATCAATTATTGTTAATCAAAAGATACATTTATTTCTTTCAATACAAGATAAGAGTGTTTCAAAAAGGCATCTGATAAATTTAGATATTTTTCTATTCAATATATGATCTCAAATTCAAATCCTAATAAGAATATGATCTAATGGGCCTGGTGGCAATTTAAAACACATATTGTTATAAAATGCTTGAGTTTCTTGTGCTTTATATAAATAGTCATTTAATTAAAAGCACCTTCTAGATAATGGAGCCTTTCTTAAAATGAATCTACAATTGCATTAAGTTCTTAGTTGTACATCTTAAATATTGAAAATTTTCTTGAATCAAAAGCCATTAAGTGGAATTTGTCATTTTTTTCCATTTGTGATAATACCGCATTTAAAGCAAAATTTGATACATTTTTTTTGTGAAAAATGCTTTGAAAAAGTTGGCACATTATAAGATTGGTACTAAAATAAAATCTATCTACGAAGCTTCAAATGATATTTCAACTTTTTTACTCCATTCAAATTTGTTTTTACAAATAAAATATGTAAGTAAAATTAAAACTTAAAAATAAATTTTAATACAAATATTAAATTATTGGCAGATTACAAATAATATTAGACATCTTTTGTTATATTTAAAATCTTTCAATCTATGATAGTTTGAACTTCTTTAAGATCCATCATAAGACCATAATTTAAAATGATGAATTCTAAGTAATCAACTTGAGATATAAAATACATTCTTTTCTATTTAGCATATAGTATTACATATCTAAGTTTTTATAATACACAACAAATATGAAGTTTATAATTTTTTATATTCTAAGAATGAAATAAAATATAGTCTAGACCAGGGTTTTGGATTTAGGGTTAAAAAAAAACTAATAGTTATTAAAAAAAAAATATTCATTAAATATTAAAAAAAAAAAATATGTTTTTAAGTCTAAAAGATATGACATAAAATTCAAAATGTCCATATCTAATTTAAAATGTAGTTTTTTATTTATCTCTTTCTTTAATCTATACTAAGTTGTATATTTCTTGTAAATCTATTTTTCTATAGATCTTGGTTACATTCAATTAATCAAGAAGTCTAAATAACAAAGATAGAGAATAATTATTTATAATAATATTTTTTTTGAGTCTTTAAAAATCCACATTCATTTGTAGTGATTCATTTTTTTCCTTCACAAATAAGATAGGAACTCTTGTGGGAGATTTTAAATAG